GTAAACACTCGTACTATATACTTCTCAATTTTAATATTTACTTCTAATTGACGTTATAACATAAACATTTTTCATGAAACAACAGATAGGTCAAGAGGGAAGTCCTACGCCGAAGAAGACTCATTTATCTGAGGACGACCCTCTTGGTGCGTTAGACGAGCTTGCTAAAATCATTTCAGATGTTCCGATGACCGTACACTAGGATTCTACTACATTTGGAAGAGAAGCCCGGATCCCATTATACTTGCATCAACAAGATGTTAGGGAGCTTGCATCGGGGAGAGAAGAAATTAATATTACACTCTTTCAGTTGTGGATGATGTAAGTTTATGAGAACTTTTTTATATAATTATTTTTTATCAAGTTACTTATATCAGATTATTTCTTCATTTTAGGTATATGTTTGATGTTAGTAACAAGAAGGGGTTCAACGATGTAAATGGGTTCATTGACCCCTCTATGACTCATGAAAGAAATAAATTTGATGATATCAAAACATACATCACCACCTGCTTTGGAATGGGGAAGGAGATATATTTTCTCCTTATATACTTGGGTAAGTGAAGTTTGTTAACTTTAAAGTTTCAATTATTAATTTTGGTAAATGACAATTAAGTTAGGCTTAATAGCCTCTTTTGTCCCTAGTTGTGCTCGGTTGTGTCAATTTGGTCCTTGGTTTTAAAAAAGTGTCTACTTAGTCTTGACTTAGTAAATTTTGTGTCAACCTTATCCCTTCCGCTAAAAAACACTAACAGTGTTAATGAATTGATGATATGGCAGTTTCTTTTTAATTTTATTTTTAATCTTTGGACCACCTATTCCCTCTTGCCACATCAACTTTGCCTTCCCCAAACAGCAGAAACCCTAATTCCAAACACCGTCAATGTCGCAAAGAACCTGCAACCACCACATCGTCTTTCACCATCAATGCTTCAACCACCCACACCGTGAAACCCATCCACCACCATTAACCATGTCGCGTCATCACCATCATGTCGCGTCGTCACCACCATTTTGCGTCGTCACCACCATGTCGCGTCGTCACCACCATGTCGGAAATCTCACAACCAGGTTCGAACCTACCCTTCATCATCAATCTCGCGCAACCCAAATCACCACCAACAACATCATCTTCTTCCTCGCGATTAAGACCCACAAAAATTCCCAATATTCAAACTCCCAATTCGTGCAGATCAATCAACCCTCCCACCGCCACCATTGCGAGACCTAGAAGCTTTTCCTAGCGCCACCATGACCTCGCAACACGCCACCATGCCACAAATCCCTTAAAACAGACAGATCTACATCGAGCTCAACATCTAAACACTAGAAAAGTAACAAATCTGAAAAAAAAAAACAAAAAAAGAACAATACCTTGCTCTTGGCGACAGAGTCATTGACATTAACAACAGAGAACAAAAGAGTCCCACTGGCCTGCATCTGGTACAACCTCTTCACACCAGTGGTAGTCTATTCAAAAACCCCAACAATACGCTCCTTCATCTTGTGGTACTTGGTGGGGTCGGTCGTCAACCCATCTCTGATGATGGTAAGCACGATTTGGAACTCGGCATTGCCAGTGGAAGCGGGGTCGGGGAACGCGTCGATTTTCTCATAGAGCTCCTCGGCCTTAACACCCGCCGGGGCCCCAATCAAGGTGTTGTAGCAGGCGATGGCAGCAGCGGCGTGGTCCTGCATGGAGAAGATCTTGCAGGAGCACCAACGAACCTCGACGCCCTGTGTCCAAACTCAATTCTTCCCCAAATTTTAAAACTCAATCTGTAAAATCCACATCGACCTTTCATTGCTTACCACGTCATCATGCAGACAACTTAAAATTGACACGATACCAATTTATAATGCCATATCATCAATTCATTAACACTGTCAGTGTTTTTTAACGGAAGGGATAACGTTGACACAAAATTTACTAAGTCAGGACCAAGTAGAAACTTTTTTAAAACCAATGACCAAATTGACATAACCAAGCACAACTAGGGACAAAAGAGGCTATTAAGCCATTAAGTTATTACCAAATTCAAGTGTCATTGACAGCTACTTATGATCTCCATATCAGAGAACACTACTGTCTGGTTTTGTTCATTGCACAAGTCTCCTCCCAGCCCTCTTAGACATGTAGTAGATTCGTAAGAACCTCAATGTTTCAACTTTCTTTGTTATATAAATGTATGCTAAAGCAATTTTTTTTAATAGTTCCCTTGCAACACATATGATGTTATCTGGGAGATCTACTGCTACAGCTAAAAAGCTTGCATGGGTTGCCCTTAAGGTTTGATATCTTAGTCCATACTTTGTTACATTTGGTTCCATTCAAATGGTGTTACTTAACATTTTATAATGGTTTAATTCCTATTTTGGTCCCACTTTTCGTAGGGTCTGTTCAAATTGGTCCTACTTTTTTTCAAAAGTTCACTAAGATCCCACTTTTCGCAAAAACGGTGCAAGTTAGTCCTTTTTGGTTACGGCGTTAAAAAACTAACGGCACAGCTGTCCAGCTGGAAGAAAACTGATGAGGTGTACAATTTTATTTGACGTGGCACTGTGAATTGGTGATTCATCCTGAGAGCAGAGGATTTATGGCTGTTTTACCCAAATTGAAAAGCAAAGTTAGGGTTCTGGTGGCCGGCGTTGTGGAGGAAAGCCAAGAGAGTTCCGAGCCTGAACCGGAAGTGGAGTCGAAAGCGGAGTTGGCATCGGAACTAAAGAAGGCGATGGCGGAGAGGAAGGAGAAAGAAGAGGACAGCTTGTTGAGCGGGGTGGCGCGTGAGATCGACGAGATTGAGTGGCCCACATTCGGGAAGGTTTTGGGTACCAGCGGCGTAGTCCTCGGCGTGATCTTTGGATCCAGCGTTGTTTTGCTTACTGTCAATGCCGTTTTAGCCGAGCTTTCTGACCGGGTTTTTGCAGGCAAAGGGATTCAGGATTTCTTCTCCTGACACACACCATACTAAACGAAATCAAAATCGTGCAATTTTTGCTGAGAAATGATTATCTTGCTAGAATCCTATATATGTGAGGCCTACCATATAAGAATTCTATATATTCGCTTTCATACATTGGATACTTATTTTTTCCCGAAGAAGATGAACATAATCCCTCTTTAGGCTTCACTACAACTCTTCTATGTGGAATTTATAACTACAAAAAATAATCAATTAAATATTATTGAAATTTTGTGATGTTTATTACGATGGTTTTATTGGTTTTTCTTTTTAAATATTTTGTTTTTATTACTATTTTTTAAGTGTTTAGGAAAATAATTAAAAGTGTTATAAAATGAGAGAAACTAAAGTAAGCCTGCAGTTTCTAGATTTTCCCAGAAATTGACTGATCCTTTGGGAACCGCCTTCGGTTTCTCCCGTTGTATGGCTGTTTTACCCAAATTGAAAAGCAAAGTTAGGGTTCTGGTGGCCGGCGTTGTGGAGGAAAGCCAAGAGAGTTCCGAGCCTGAACCGGAAGTGGAGTCGAAAGCGGAGTTGGCATCGGAACTAAAGAAGGCGATGGCGGAGAGGAAGGAGAAAGAAGAGGACAGCTTGTTGAGCGGGGTGGCGCGTGAGATCGACGAGATTGAGTGGCCCACATTCGGGAAGGTTTTGGGTACCAGCGGCGTAGTCCTCGGCGTGATCTTTGGATCCAGCGTTGTTTTGCTTACTGTCAATGCCGTTTTAGCCGAGCTTTCTGACCGGGTTTTTGCAGGCAAAGGGATTCAGGATTTCTTCTCCTGACACACACCATACTAAACGAAATCAAAATCGTGCAATTTTTGCTGAGAAATGATTATCTTGCTAGAATCCTATATATGTGAGGCCTACCATATAAGAATTCTATATATTCGCTTTCATACATTGGATACTTATTTTTTCCCGAAGAAGATGAACATAATCCCTCTTTAGGCTTCACTACAACTCTTCTATGTGGAATTTATAACTACAAAAAATAATCAATTAAATATTATTGAAATTTTGTGATGTTTATTACGATGGTTTTATTGGTTTTTCTTTTTAAATATTTTGTTTTTATTACTATTTTTTAAGTGTTTAGGAAAATAATTAAAAGTGTTATAAAATGAGAGAAACTAAAGTAAGCCTGCAGTTTCTAGATTTTCCCAGAAATTGACTGATCCTTTGGGAACCGCCTTCGGTTTCTCCCGTTGTTGACTTCAACTACCCAAATTGAAAAGCAAAGTTAGGGTTCTGGTGGCCGGCGTCGTGGAGGAAAGCCAAGAGAGTTCCGAGCCTGAACCGGAAGTGGAGTCGAAAGCGGAGTTGGCATCGGAACTGAAGAAGGCGATGGCGGAGAGGAAGGAGAAAGAAGAGGACAGCTCTCAGGATGAATCACCAATTCACAGTGCCACGTCAAATAAAATTGTACACCTCATCAGTTTTCTTCCAGCTGGACAGTTGTGCCGTTAGTTTTTTAACGCCGTAACCAAAAAGGATTAACTTGCACCGTTTTTGTGAAAAGTGGGATCTTAGTGAACATTTGAAAAAAAGTAGGACCAATTTGAACAGACCCTACGAAAAGTGGGACCAAAATAGGAATTAAACCTTTTATAATTATGATGATATATTGTAGTGTAATAGACAAATAGGGTCATATGAATGTGGTTACTACGTCATGTTTTGGATGATGACCATTATTCGTGCACATTACACTAGTGGATGGGAAACGATAATATTTAGGTTTGAATTTTATTTTCTCTATAGTTTAGATTTCATATACACTAATTAAAATCATTTTCTTTTATGCAGAGATTTAATAGGACTGCTCCAATTCCAGAGAAGTCAATTCAACTTGTGAGGAAAACACTTGCTAAATATGTAATTCATTTATATAATAGTATGTAGTAGATATTAGGATATGGTAAGTTCTAAGTTTATGTTTCTAAGTTGTTTTATGCTTTTCTACATTATTATAAGTTTAACTTTGTACATTGCATTGATTTATGCTTCAAACTTGATTTATGATTACATTGGATTGATATATGCTTCTAAGAAGTTAATTTATGATTCCATTGAATATATTTATGTTTTAATATAATTTTCATTCAAAATATACATTTATGGATTATTCTGGACTGTTCTGGCTATAAAAATATATGCAGGTTTGTTTCTGTAGTTGAGAATGTTGCAGAAACAAACCTCATTTAAAAAAAAATAGGGGTATATGCCTCGGTTGAGGTCAAAACCGAGGTAGAAAAACACCCTATGGCATCGGTTATGGTTACACCCGAAGCAGAAAGGCTGACGGATGAGAAAAAAAAGGACCCTACTGCCTCGGTTCACGGGCAACCGAGGCATAAAGTCCTACAAAAAAAAAATTAAAAATAAAAAACTCTACTGCTTCGGTTAACGCTGAACCGAGGAAAAATCCTACCCTTTTATGCCTTGGTTCGCACCCGAGGCAAAAAGTATGGATATGCCTCGGTTCAAGAACCGCTGTCTATGGGCAAAAATAACCGCTGTCGTTTCTCCTGACTGTACTAGTGTGTGAGTCACTTTGTCGGTACTGTGTTGAAAGCACTACTACTGTTGAAATGAATCGACATGTATTAAGTTATTAGGTTGCTTTGTTTTGTGTAGGTTGTTGCTAATATACTCTCTAAAGGTACCAAACTTAGGGACTACATGAAAGGAGTAGAGAACGATTCACTTGTTCTTGAATTTTGAGCAAAATCTATGTTTACTAGGAATTGTAGTGTAATTTGGTTTGGTTCATTTGCTTTTTGTGCACATCCATGAGCATAATTCTTTCTAATTTACATTTCTGTTGTTTTGAAAGCAGAGTCCTGATGGAGATATTATTGACTGCCTCCATGTCTCTCACCAGCCAACTTTGGATCACCCTTACCTCGAAAATCACAAGATATAGGTGAAGAATTTTACTTTTCTTATCTAGAGCCTTTTAATGCTATAATTCAAAATTCTTCCCTGGTTAGCTCCATTTTTCTTTCTCTTTTCTTTGGTTCAAACTTGAATTTGAAACAATCACAGATTGTTGATGTAGATGAAACCAAATTTCCATCCTGAAGGGCACCCTTTTGGGGAGAGCAAAGTCTCTTCAAATTCGAAGCCTATTACTCAGCTGTGGCATCAAAATGGAAGGTGCCCTCAAGGAACAATTCCTGTCAGAAGGACCTCAAAGAACGACATACTAAGGGCAAGCTCTATTCAACAATTTGGAAAAAAGAAGGAAACAAGCTTCCCTCAGCCAAAGCCAGCTAAACCTCAACCAGACCTCATCAGTCAGAGTGGAAAAATTGTTTGTCATATTGGGCCTTTTTTCTATGCAAAAGAAGATAGAAAAATTTGTAAACTACCTACCATATTAGGTCTCCTTATTATGCAAAAGGAAAAACAAAGGATAAAAGTTTATTACTTATTTATTGATTTCTCCTTATTGACTTCAAATTCAGCATCCTCATAAAGATTAGATTTATCACCTTCCTTCTAATTTCCAATTTCTATTTTTTTTTTCTGTTCTGGTAATCAGGTCAGTCGTGAATTGTATGGAGACAACAACACTTATTGGACAGTGAGTTATCTATTCAAGCACTCAAAATTTGTCCTTTCCTCTAATTACTTTGTGTTTCTTATTCACCTGATTCAATTGTTTCACCACCGTGACAAAGTGATGCATATAAAGCTATTGGTTGTTATAATCTCCTTTGCTGTTATGGCTTTATTCAAATTAATAGTGATATAGCTCTGAAATTGTAAATAAATTGGGATTGATATATTAAAGAGTTTTTATCATAATCAAATAAATTGTAAATAATACAAAAAAAAACTGCCCGGTAGGTCCAGCAGTTATCAAAATCTCTGAAATTTCCGGCGGATTTGAAAAATCCCTAGAAATAGCTGCTGTTTGAGTAAAAGTCGTTGGTAACAGTTAATGACGCTGTTTTCTCAGTGATTTTTGTAACCGTGGAAACTACATTTTTCAGGGGTTAAAACCGCTGAAAATGTTAAAAAAACCTTAGTAAAATTTAATATTTTTGTAGTGACTCTTAGCACAAGAACATTTATTAAAACTAAAACATAAAGAAAATATAATCTTATTTTTCATGGTGGTCAATTTTTCTTATCAGTTAAATAATAGATAGGTAGATAAATAAGTAGAAATAATGAATGTTATAAGAATAATTTCTTTTGACACAAAATTTAAAACATCAACATAATATAAAAAAATTATATTAGTTTTAATAGTTTATTATAACCACTAAAATTAAACCGTTAAGAAAAATTGTTGTTTTACTAATGCAGCTTGGGAAACAATAAGACGGGTGTTGGAATACTAAAATGTTTGGAATGACTTTGAAATTGATTAATTTATCATATAACTAATTAATATTTTTATACCAATAGGTAATAATGTGATGAATATATCAAAATATTAAAACAAATTAATTATTTTTCAATACTTAAAAAAAAGTGATAGTTTGAGAACCAAATTGATAATTTATTCACATCAACATGCTTTAAGTCATGATGGCTTGAATTACCCTAGGGAGATTGATTGCTTTAAATGATCCTTAATTTTTGGTGGAAAAATCAACATTTGTTTGTTTTTTATTCAACACGAATATAAAAGCAACAATGAGGAACATTCTAAATTACTATTTTTTTTTTTGGCAAAAAGCCTAGGGAATAGTCAGTAGTCTCCAGTTTATTTGGAAGAAAAATCACACCTCAATCTCTACTGTTCTAACAGTTGAAAAATCAACTTTTCTACAAGTTATAATACTTTAGATTGAATAATCCATGTTGAGAGGGGTCACAATATTTAGAAAATTAAGAAAACAAAATGAAAAACATCATAGCAGCAACAAATATTCATAAAATTTTGAGTAATTGTAAGAGGTCTTATCATTTTATATACAAAAAAATTACTTAGAATTTGCAGTGGCTAGTATATATTTTTCTGTTAAATATATGCTTATGCGGCGCTTACGATTAGTGAATTATTAATAAAAAGACAACAAATTGTTTATTTATGAAGATACTGAACAGTGAAGACCTATGTAAGAGTTGAGTTACAAATTCATTTAGAATTTACAAAAATATAGTAATTACATACTGCAAAACTTGCATCAGTTTATTTGATGCACTGGAACCTTTCGACGAGATGATAACACTTCATTCAATTGTGCAATCTGACGTAGGAGTTGGCTAATTTTCTGCACCAACAAAGTGTAAGTTCAGTGTTAACCCCTCATTTTAAAAATGGAAGCAGATTATGCAATTAAATTGCAACTAAGCACTAGGCTTAGCTGCTAACAGCTATACATTTGAGCATATAAAGAACTTTAAGATAAATTTAGAAGGGACAAGACTATGTGTTTTAAGTCAGATACCAGCAAAAGAGGCTACCATCATATATTTTAAATCTAATTTTAATGTGAAATAATTTTGAGTTATGTGTTTGTTTTCAATAATAGAAGTATATATCTTTTAGAAAATTATTTCTATGAGAAGTTATTCGATTTCATATTTTTTTTAATAAAAGTGGTTTTCTTTTAAATTATATACAAACACTCAATCATTATTAGAAATCAAGGATTAAGAATTTAGTTAATAATATATTAAAAATGTAGTTTCTTTATCCAAAAAAATAATGTTGATGGAAAATCTTCTACATTTCAAAGAATAATGGAATGTGATGGAAATAGAAATTTCAATTGTACCTATTTAAATTATATTAACTGAGGTGTATCAGCTTTAAATTGACAACAAAAACTCAAGGACTTGAATATAATATAATGTTTTCAAGCTTTTTTTTTAT